TTTGCCATCTCTCTGACAACTTGAAAATTCCACGCTCGTAGAAAGTCTGATCCTTTTCGGCCAAAAACTGAGTTAAGTGAGATTTTACAGCGTCGTCATCGTTAAAAGTTTTACCACGAAGGGAGTTGTCCAGGGATCGAAATAAGTGGTAATCCGATGGCGCGAGATCAGGGCTATATGGTGGGTGTAACATCAATTTTCAAGCAATATCCATCAATTTTTGCCGAGTGGACAAAGACGTGTGTGGCCTAGCATTGTCCTGCTGGGAAATGACACCTTTACGATCGACCGATTCTGGTCGCTTTTCCTTGACCGCTGCATTCAATTTGTCCAGTTGCTAACATTCACGGATAATAAAAAATAACAATAATAATAATAATAATAATAATAATTTTATAATACAACATTTACGGATATCATAAAAATGGGAGTGAGAGACATCTATAACTGAAATCGGCAATTACTTAGTTGCCAACCCAATAGTTGTCGAGTTTGCGTCGAGGTCGTCTCGAGGTTACAGCTGATCTTCGGCGATCGAGTGAAAAATAATAATAATTAAATAGCAAGAAATATGTTCAAAAATGCGTCGAGGTCGTGTCGAGGTCGTCTCGAGGTTACAGCTGATCTTTGGCGATCGAGTGAAAAATAATAATAATTGAATAGCAAGAAATGTGTTCAGAAATGCGTCGAGGTCGTGTCGAGGTCGTCTCGAGGTTACAGGCGATGTTCGGCGATCGAATGAAATAAACAACTGTCGCGTTGGGAACGATGGAATGGCAAGAAATATCTTGAAAAATTTGTTTCGAACATTGTTAGGAAATATCTAGGGAAAAATTAGCTCAGAATTTTGTTGCAAATATCGTCGATGTTGTTGCGAAAATGAGATCCGCCGTTCGGGGGACAAGCAGCGTTGAATCGAAGGCGCGAGCAACTTCCAACGCGGCCGGTGGACCATTATCGAACCGATCATACTAATGCGCATAAATAGCGAGTGTCTGGCTCAATAGTTGATTTCGCTTTGTCGCGACGCGCTCTCCGCGTCGATCGAAGCTGCCGCGATTATTATTGCACCGCCGATCTTATTTGACCCGCTAAGAATCGATCACGCGCGGCTGACGCGTTAAGTCCGGCCGAGATTGCGACAAGTTTTCGAACCCGGCGAGAAAATTACTTTTCCGTCGCTCGAATGTATACAGGGTGTCCTGTGCGAAGTAACGAGCTTCGATGACCAAAGTGTTCGGGTCAAAAATAACCTTGAAACGCGCTATTCGCTTGCATTGAAGAAAATATAGAGTTCCGTTGATGAAAGCGAAGCCTAATTTAAGAGATAATATAATATTATGTTAACACTCGGAATAGGATGATTCCTGAGGCGCTTTCGAGTAACTTTTTCCTTTGCGAAAATGCGATCCGCCGCTTCGTTTACGAGTTACGAACGAATGAACATGGACCAATCGGAGAGCGAGCGCTGCCTGCGCTGCGCCCTCGCGGCCACTGCCGTTGCGTCGCACGGCCAGCGCGACGCGGCACTGGCCGCGAGGGCGGGGCGTCAGCCGTACACGATCTCGCGTTGGTCAGCGTTTTTCGTTAATAACTCGAGAACCAAGCCGCGGATCGCATTTTCGCAAAGGAAAAAGTTGCTTCGTATGACCTCAGGAACCATCCCTTCCCGGCTGTTAACATAATTATGGTACACTCTGTATAGGAATACGTACGTACGAATTTTTCGTTTCACGAACGATATTTTCGCAATCGTATTCGGCGGTGGATTCGTCTAAAATCCAAGCACGCGGATTTCTATATCTCTGCTCTGTATTTCCGAACGATTATGTCTTCGGCCCGCTATCAGGCCGAGCTTCTGATCTCGATTGATTCGTTACACGTCTCGGGGAACCTCCCGGCGCCGCGGGGTTGGTTAAGGGCGGCGGGGTCGGTCGGACGTCTCCTCTCCTCCCGACGCCCTCGTCGACTTTTCTCCCTTGCTTCGTTACCTTCGTTTCCCGACCGCCCCCTCCTCCTCCATCGCTAATGCATCGGTGTTCGGCTTCGATAAATCTCGAGCGGCGAGGAGGACCATACCGCAGCCGGCCCTTTTTCCGTCTTCGTTCCTTCGCCGCGGTTGCTCGGTTACACGGCGCACCTTCCCCGACGGAATCGTGACTCGACATCTAGGTCGAAACGATCCCCCTCCCCCCCTTCCCGATCCACCTTGGAACTGGGACGCGATCGTCCCGGAGGTTTCTCCTCCGGGACACCGGTTCTCGTTCTCGAGCGCGGATCCCAGAGGCTTCCGGCTGCGAAACTGCCGGCCACGTTCCTTTGCCAAAATGAAACGCTGATCGTTTTATGGACTGCCAGTCTACCGTAGAGGGCGACACGTTCAACAATATAGCGACTAGGTTCTCTAACGGGAGCCTAAATGTTGTTATTTAACTGTCCAGTTTACGATAACTAATTTAAATTTTTCTATGTTATTTAATATGTACACGGAATTCATATTATTGTACGATAGTTTCTGTGTTATTTAATATGTGCACGCATTCATATTATTGAACAATAGTTTCTATGTTATTTAATGCGTACACATTAACATTATTGTACAATAGTTTCTATGTTATTTAATATGTGCACGCATTCATATTATTGAACAATAGTTTCTATGTTATTTAATATGTGCACGCATTCATATTATTGTACAATAGTTTCTATGTTATTTAATATGTGCACGCATTCATATTATTATACAATAGTTTCTATGTTATTTAATATGTGCACGCATTCATATTATTGAACAATATATATTCTATATATACTTAATGTGTACGCATTAACGTTTAATGTACAATATTTCCTATGTTATTTAATACGTATAGATTAATATTACCGTTTAATTATATTTTCTATGTTATTTAATATGTACACATTAACGTTATCATGTAATAGTTTCTATGTTATTATTATGCGTACGTTAGAAACCTTAACCGCAACTGTAAATATTACCCCTTCGATATTATTATATCAATCCTCTTTTCTTCGTAAGTTTAAGCTTTCTGTGCGCAACTGCTACGATACATTTTGCAATAAAAATGTGCGATACGTGTTACATTGAACTCCTATGAAAAAATTGATATATCGTGCTCATTTTATAGACAATATACATTTTAGCGAGAATCCGACGGACTATACCGTGTCTGGATTGCTGTCGCAAATTCGGATGTTTGCAGTTCAAGATTAAAGTCTCGAGTAAAATCGGGGAAAAATTGGCTCAGGAAGTTCGGAGAGGAGGATGGGAAATGTTTTCTTTGGTAGAGGAATATTAAAATAAATTTAAATTGTAGTTGAACATCCTCTCTGCGCAATTCCAAAGCGTGTGATTTTTATTATAATATTTGCGCGATTAAAATTTCTCTCTCTCTCTCTCTCTCTTTCTCTCTAACTAAAT